CGATCAACTCGACGGCGTGAACACGCGCGGCGCATCCCTGGCCCACGTGCGTTGAGTCAGCTGCGCGCGTGACAGCGAGCCGGCGTCCGCATGTCTGGTGGTCTGACGCATGGCGCGGCAACCCCATTGGAAGAATCTGCGCTGAGGACCAGCGGCGCTTCTGATTGGACATTTTGGTTGGACCCGGTGTAAATGAAAGAAGCCCTGCGGCGCGTCGCGATCGGCGGTCCTATGTGAGAGGCGTCCCCGTGTCGGAGTGCCGACATGTGTGTGAGTCAGCGGTCTTAGGCGAAAGGCTGAACTATGTGTTAGAGAGAAGAGCTCGGCTCTTCGAGTCTCTGTCGGCCCCAGTGCCGAAATTGTAACGCCTCTGTATATATGCTGTACATAAACCTTGTTTAACTCACCGTCGTCTCGTCCGCTCGTCTTATCAGCTCTGCGCAGAAGCAGTCGCGAGCTGATAAACATACGCTACCAAACGGCTGGTGACCTTTCCGGCGGAGTTGGAAGCAGTGGCGCCTCCGGGGCCGTGTTGGCGTCGCCGTCTTTCGCAACAGTGGTGGCTTCGGCGGGGTCGGTCCGCCGTTTCTCAACAGTGATCCCTAGTCCAGCACTCTCGTCGTCTTCTTCATTGATCTTTTTTTCTAACAAACTGCCCCGTGCAGAATTTCGCAGAAGTTTAATTCCGGTGGGTACACATGCTTAAAGGTCCATGTCGTTTCATGGTAGCTCTACCCGGTAGTCTGTGGAGCTTCACTATTAATTTATAATTTCCGGTGCTCACTTGACCAGTGTCAACGGGGCGCTAACTTTTGCCTTAAAGTGGTTCTCATTTTCGAAAGGCCTCCTTTCACTGTTTCCAAGAAAGCGTACAATGCCAGCTTTCATATCTTCGGCATTTGAAGGCTCCCTGAGAAGCACTCTTCTGCTTGCGCTTGGAGGCATGTTGTAGTAGCGAAGGTGTGACGCGGTCGGCAGAGTTGTGCGGCCATTGAAGACATTCGGGAGCAAGCTATTTGGATCCTGTCCACCGGAAAAGAAAGAATTCACGAATTCACCCTCGTCTTGCCTAACAATTACGTAGGTTGTGCTTTTCAGGGTTCATCTTTACTGCGAAAGTGTTGAACATGTCGAGAGTGTCACCTAGTCGTGATGTCGCTTTTGTCGTGAAAGATTGGTGCCCTTCAATTACGGTTCTTTGCTCCAAGAATTCCACGGCATTTGTGCTACTTGAAAATACGTTCGTGTCAATGTGCGCCGTTTCCAGGCTTTTGGTACATTTTCCACAATAGATTAAACTGTCAGGGTCGTGTAGACTTCATTCCAATAACATGTGGATCGTCTGAAGCCCCATTGTGTATCTTCACAGAGGCATATATTATCTCGTTGGCTTGTGACGGCTGTAGAAACGCATTTTCTATGGAAGAAGCTACTTGGTCTTCATTGTGGGTGTTTTTACGCCCCTACACTTTCATTTCCATTACTTCCAAGTACGCGCATTTTTCTGTTGTTTTGATACGCTCCGTCACTTCTGCTTTCAGAACGATGACCTCGTTGCAGTGCATGGCGTTAGTGCAAGGGGCTGCTGGCTTATGTAACTTCCAGCCTAAAGAGGTCTTGACGGCCTATAGTCTGTTTTCTGAGTTCTCGGTGTTTCCTGTGACAAATGACCAGTAATAGTTACCGCCAATCAAGATGTCAAAAGCGTTTGGGCTGTCAGCTTGGTTGATGTCGGAGAAGTAAAGCCCTTGGTGTCTGAGCTTGTTGATGAAGTCTCTTGTCGGACGTGGGATTGATTGATGGCTGATATTCGTCATGACCAGAGCTTCTATCTGCACTGACTGGCAGCTATGCATTGAACTGAGCGTAAGAAGCACGCGTAAGAAGGGCTTCTCTTTATGTCACCCTCCATAATAGTCCACTAAAAGACTTTAGAGACCGAGTAGTCGACAACGCAATTTTTCAGCCACTCGCTTCGTCACGAAACTGCGCAGACTGCCTCCGTCGAATAAAACTCGAACAAGCACTTTGCTTTGCCAGCTGTCCAAGCAACAGCAGTTTGTACGTATACGCACTGTTTATAATTATCAGTATCAATCGATTCGAGTTGTATTCGTTTTGGCAACGTAGCAACATCTGTAGTCGACTGCATCGTCTGAGGGTCGCGCATGGTATCCCCATGGCGTCGATAGCACTTTGCTCATATAACCTTTCTCCTGCAGTTTTTTGACAAGTGATGCTGGAAGGTGCAGCGAAAGCAGTGACCAGCAGCTTATAGGTGCCTTTTCGTCTAATGATATTTAAAGTCGCAATGCTTGGTATATTGCGTAGCTGAAGCACAAAAAAAGCGTTCTTCTGATAAGCTGGTTTTACGAATGATGTCAAATGCTATGTGGTTGATCGATGTCGCGAAGACGATTCCACGCTAGTATGAGAACTTTTAACTTGGCTCTTCGACACGTCCTCTCTTACAGAAACTTGCAGGAATGTTTGCTCTTGAGCCCATTCGAATAAAAATCAGTAAAGACTTACCTTGCCTTCTGCTCCAGGCTGTTCCACCCTGGATGCTTTGTATGTTGGCATGCGATGGTGTTGTTTAAGCCGAGGACGGTTTCCTGAGGAAGCGACCAGAGCAGGATGGGGTATATTATAGCGGAGTAACGGTCCTCCGATACTCCGAGAGTCTTGAGGGCACGCGTCTGGTATTGGACGGTGTCGTAAAGGCATTGAACTCCTCGAGCATTGTTTGAGGATCGCACGGGTCGCATGCCAATGAGTCGCTGCGTGTGAACCTCAATGAAGATGTCGGTCTTCGAGAAGCATTGTGTCAAAATACCCAAAGCTTCTGAATAGCAGCTTTCCGTTGCTGGAAGTCCGGCGATAGCCGATGTTGCGCGACCGGCCAGAATCGAATGTAGATAGGCGAAACGTTCTACGTCTGTGAGCCCACTATTGTGGTTCAGTGGACTGTACTGTTTCCAAAAAGGTAGCTATATAGAAGGCTGACCATCGAAGTTCACGAGGCAGATTTTGGGAAGTTGAATGAGTGGGCTGAGGCGTGCGTGACACGGGTTCAGTAGGTGCTGCCGGTGGTAGTGCACCGCCGATGGACGTTTGGCGTTATATGACTCATTAGCGTTATATAATAAGTAGTTTAAACATACGTAACGTAGACTAATAAAGTTCCGCGGGATATTTAAGCGCAAGCAATTTGTTTGCTTGTTTGTTGATATCAGTTGAACGATTCTGCCACCTGGGCGAAAACTTAACCCCTTGCTCAACACCTGACTATCTCGTGGCTGCGTTCAGACTGGTGAACATTGTCAATGAAAAAGCAAGTATTACGCATATTCCAGACACAACATATATATCAACATGTTAGGCAGTGTGCTTTTTACTTATAAAATTTATGGATACGTAATTACGCTGAGCTAACAATGCTACGCTATGAAAAAAAAATGTCGGTCGTTTCTTACGCTTCGCTCAAAAAATTAGGGGCTTCAACTAAAGAACCCTGTGCTGCCACTTACTAAAGGCTCTGCGTTTAAAAAAGTTTGCTTCTTCAGATTAGTGCCAGATGGCGCAATATCTCGCGTAGTGGCTCGCGACAGAAGATTATTGTTTTTCGACGTCTTTTGCAGCGATTCTTGGAGATATGCTGCGAATTTTTTCACACCAAATAAACTGTGACCCATACATCAGCAACACCAAATACGAAGAGCTTCTACGTAGTACTTATACTTTAATTTTGTGACGGAGTGTCACACGCACTTTTCACGATTTTGCCTACATCAGTGAAAGGTGTTTCTTAGAGTTTTTGAACAAGGTCTTATTCATTACGATCAGTGAGCACCTGCAGCTGGAGAGGGCTTGTTATTCAAACTGTTTTTGATCACGACGATGAGGAGTCTCTGTGTAGTAATATCTGAGGTATCGTACAGCTAGTGGAAATCGTGAGTGCCTCTTAAGCGGAAATGATCTGTCAGGCATCTTGTCTTTCACGTGGAAACTTGGTCGTGTGATGCCCTGACTACTGTGAAAACGTATTACATGTGGTGTGAAAAGCAGGCATTGTTGCGTTTTCTTGAATCGATGTTCAAGTAACCAGAAATGATGAGGGGCATAATTTGTTCGGCAGAGTTATTGAAGAAAGGATAAACGCCTGTTTCGCTCTAAGTCATTTCGGTGTCATCTTCGGGCTGAACGAGGCCTCCACCCCACCTCGTAATGAATGGAGAATTATGAGCTGTTATGACGGATCACGTGGACATGTGGTATGTAGCCGAGCGTCTTCCAGGGGTGTTCTTTTTGCATTTCCCTTACCTACTTTACGTTTCAAAGTTTATTTTCGCTGGTCATTTTTTCTAGACTGCGAATGGCTTGGGGCTCATACCCACATAACATGAACTGTGGTAGGTCGGCATGTGCCACAAAGGGCTAAGGTAGAGGCTTTCATGACGTATGCGACAAAGATACCGGGTTATTCAAATCGCAGCAATTTTTGCGTACTGCCGACACTGCGTCACCTTTTGATTTTGACCCGCCGGCACGTGAAGCGTCTGACGCGCCCTGAATGGACCTCTTCGAGGGTCAGTATTGTGCGTGACGTCAACGACGATTAAGAAGCTGTGTGCAGCTCAAAAAACTGAGTGTTATGGCGTCGTTGTCGCCTCGTAGAACGAAGCGCGCGCGGCGTACGTCGGCTGGACAAGGCGGGATTTGAAAAACAATTAGGCACGCATCACACACACACAAGTTCATCTGCATTTATAAATATAATACTAAAGTCGGCTACCAGTTTTAAAATTCGCTGCTCAGAGTGCTTTAGAGTTACCGTTGTATAATTTGGCACATATTAGCATGTCACCGACGAAAACACAAGCTCTGAGTTTTATTGAAACCGGTGCATATTCTCCAAGAAATCGCAGGAGTTCCTCTATACAAAGAAACAGATACCACAATAAAATTATTGGTTTACGCAATATGAGTGCTTAGCGATCCAGATCCTGTGTTCATTCTTCTGAATGTGTGCTTAATCGTGGTACAAATGGCTCGAAAGCAATAGCTCGTATTTTATTTTGTCTAAATGCACTAAACTTGTACTTTCCTGTTTCAGCCGCCGCTTTGAAGTAATGGGATATAGACAGGTTTGCAAAAAGATGGCCACAGTTTTTTCAGCTGAAGAATTCTGGCGTAAAAGGTGAACGTGAATATTTTTTCTTGCTGTTAGTCGATAGGACATAGAGCACATAATCATGTGGCAGAACCACTAATGCTTTTTCCTATGCTCGTCATTTCACTCCAAAAAACGAATATAAATTGTAAGCTATGCGTAACGTAGTGGAATCACTTAGGTCTACGATTGCTGCGGTAACATAAATCCGCTGGAACATATTATAAATAAGTCCGTCGCACGCAGTCAGTCCCAAAAACTGCACTTGTTCGATGGATTCATCGGTGCACCCTTCTTGCAGCTAAATGCACTGGCGAATTCATACTGAATTCTTCAGAGGGACGTTCACCCTGAAAATAAAGTGAAACACTTAAGTTTGCTAGACAGTTGGACAATGATGCATAAAACCTTTCACAATGACTTGAAAAGCGATGAAAACATCACATTCTGCTGGCCAACCGCTCAATAAATCATACAATTGCAGCGCGAAAACACTCTATGTAGGTGTGAGACAAAACATCACGCGAAAGCTTATCATCATGCGCAACGTGTAAAATCACAAAGCATTGTGGACTACGCAATGCATATCAAAGTTTTGTGATTGTCACCACACATGCCATTTACTCATAATATTTCTCCGGCCTACGCCATTCCAATACGCAGCTTGATATACTTGATTTTTCATGACTAACGTACCAGCCACAACGCTTAATACATTATCATATTCTTGAAAAGGCATGAGAGAGTCTGAGCAACTGGTCGTTTCACCGAAGCGCATCAGAGAATTCGCGACGTTGTGAGTATCTATTACTTCTAGCTGCCGATGCCCACAGTTGCACACGTTCATAGCAAAGCGTCATGAATAGAAGGCAGAAAAAAAGTAATCTATTATTTGTCAGTAACATGAAATAATTTGCCCAATTTCGCCCCATGTCAAAAAGGGCAAAGGGGAGTACCTGTGCTCTGATGAGACAAGCTGTTTAACTAATACAGGTGTTCTAAAGACATTACAATTGACCTGTCAATTATCTTCATCAGATGATTATTTGTCATTCAGACTATTTCAAATTTAAAGGTTCGGAAGCTCCAACGATCACTCTTAATTCATTTGGCGCATCTTACTGCAATAGGACCGCTCCTCGCTTAGGTCTTCAGCACCTCTCGTGTTGTACGAAGCCCTTTGTAATCGACCTACAGTCTGTCACTGTTTTTGTTCATGCAGCCACACACCAGTACTGTTAATTTATGCTTTGAGTACAGATTTACCGGTATATTGCAGCTTCTACAACCGATGCTGGACACATTTATCAACTGGGGCAAAGCAAATTTTGCAATGCCAAACTGAACAAGGAATGTTTTCACGCGGAAACCTTCGATGCCACTTCAAACACAATATTTGGCCATTGGCCTCGTCCCGTGGCGTCAGACACGAGTAATGTAAAAAGTCGCGACGACTGGAGTCGCTACAGAGCGTTATAATGACGTCACTGATCATCCGAATTTCTGACTTCATTTTGACGTAATCATAAAGAAACCAGGTGGCGATGTTATCACCTCACATCGCAGCTTGGTCAAAGGTGGTACAATCATAGACTCAATACAAATCAAGTGAAGTGCTTCCTATCTGTGAGGCAGTGAAAAACTTTATCAGGGGCATAGATACCGAAGCGTCAATACAACAGTGGAGAGAAGAAAGATCGATATGTGAGGTTTAACGTCACAAAACCACCATATGATTATGAGAGACTCCGTAGTGGATAGCTCCAGAAATTTCGACCACCTGTGGTTCTTTAACGTGCACCCAAATCTGAGCACACGGGCCTACAGCATTTCCGCCTCCATCGGAAATGCAGCCGCCACAGCTGGAATTTGATCCTGCGACCTGCGGGTCAGTAGCCGAGTACCTTAGCCACTTGACCACTGCGGCGGGGCCAGAGGAGAAAGAAAATGGTTTCTGCCTACGAGTCAACTTATGTGAATGCGCTAGGAAAGCTGGGAGTTTTATGTAAAATACACAAAACACTGAAAGCAGTGAATGGGGCTACTTGGGTGCACAAGTGTGATAACGCTCCAGCGTAAATGATAAAAAGAAAAAAAAATAGGTCTCCCACTGTCACAAATACTTAGAGACCTTCCTCTATTTGTGAAAAGAGAATCCCAGTGAAGCTCGGGAAGAGTCCCTGCGGTGAGGTGTCGCGCAGACGTTTGCGTTCGCTTCCGCTATCACCGGCAGTGGCTTGGGCCATAGTGGCTTAGGCCATAAAGTTTCATTATAGTGCACTAAACGGAACTCTGGCAATGCTGTGCCTATGGCAGCTGCAACGCATGGCGCTTCAGTTTTCATGGTAGTTCTGGGGAGTACACGGATTTGTCCAGCCTTCGTTATTTCGGCTCCGTTTGGCTTGATTTGGCCTGAAGCCGCTTTGTTGCAAGACGAAGTTCAGAGTGTGTTTAGCAGTTCCACTTTACGACCAGAATTTTCAAGGCTGACCTATTGGAATACATCTAACATCATAACGATCCGTTCTTTATGCAAAAACAAACACCAAAGCACAATGATAAACGAAGCCACAAGCACGTTCGAAGCCGCAAACACGAATGTTAAGCAAGTCCGTGTACTACCCACATTTTCATGATGGCAGAACGATATCAACGCCAGAGTTCTCGCACTAGGAAGATGTAGTAAACTCTGTGGCATTTTATTGAAGGTGACGCAGACAATCGCGCTTCCCGGCGCACCGACGTTCATGCTACTGCCACTACTCCACTTTCATCGTTCTACCTAAGCAGGTAAAATGACGCGAAGTGCGGTTTGTTGCACTGAACACTGTTCCTGCTCGCAATTTTTATTTCGGTGTCTGTTACTTCACGGAAAAGCAGGTTCCATCTGCACAAATAAAATAGGTAAGGACCTCCGCTGTAATGACTTTTCAGACTTTTTGTGCCAACTATGTGTTTTTATTTCCAGTTTCTCGCGTGCGCTGTAACTTGACTAACAGTTGGTAAAAGTTCTCGCTACTCTTACCTGTCATGCATGATAACCCGTTTTGTGTCATTGGGACTATTTCGGCTTGTACAGTGATTCTGAAGTAAAAAAAGAAAACAAAGACAAAAAATATTGTTAAAAGTGTATTCAATTAAGTTTCGGGAGGCTACGTTCTTGGTGGCAGGCTTATGCCGACACCAATGTCTGTGACGCTTATAACAACGCAACCAAAATGTAAGATAAAAATAAATTTTGTGTATTGTCTGTAAAAATGTGCGCAAGACAATCAGGAAACTGTATTTGATGTTTGGGTGTCGTGAGCAAACTTCAAGAAATCGTAAAAATGAAGGGAAATAAGTTCCCACGTGTTGAAGCGTTAAAGCCGCTGCCTTCATAAGATAACGGTAAGGACGTTTTGATTCTATATTAGCCGGTATGTACTTCCAATGGAAGCGATCCGTTTTGAAGGAGGAGAACCAAAAAAATGAGTATAGTGCGTAATGGTTCATTATGCGCACACTTTCATAGAACCGAAGGCACTTACAAGAGCGTAATAAAGGAAGAATAGTTGTTCAGAGGTCACATTGTCAAGATTACCAATGCCGTAGTCCCTGTGCAGGTAGTGCTTGGTATATAATCGACTTTGAATAGCCCTGCAGAAAAAGAAATGCATGAGGCTAAACACACACGAATTAAATTGTACACGTGACTAGAAAATCAGCGTACATAAATGACTGGCGCTACTTCGAAAAGTTGTACTTGGTGAGATCAAGCATTAAAATATTTGATTGGTAGAGCTGCCATCATCTGCAATTCAATTTTTTCAACACTGCTACATGATGTGGCAAAAACAAACGGCAGGTCCTTAGTTTCAAATTCTGATTATACCACTCACCCTCACATGTGACATCACTGTGACACCTCTTAACGCGAATAAAAAGACTATAATAAATACACTGATAGTGTATGTATGTATACGACCAATAAGCTGTTCTATGCATTATTGCCATAATTTGCATTTGAACAAGGCACCTTCACTCTGCGTGGATTAATTATAACACTGTCGAAACAGCACAACAACGACAACAACAAAAAAAAAACAGACACGAAATGACGAGGTCGATCAGTAAAAGCACTGCGTGGAACCCGTACATGTCTGCCTCGTACTTTTGTCGGTTCTTATTTATTATGTGCCCTGCTTTCGTACAATACGTTGAGAAAAAGACAAATAGGTTAGTTACCTCGTACGCAATCACGAGCGCAGAGTTTTCCTCTACCCTGTGTGCTGGTGTCATCACCTGCACAATACAAGATGGAAATGTTACGCAAATCACTAGGTAAAAGAAGGCTGAACTGCAGCAACAGAAGAATATTGAGACAAGGCACTTAATTTCCAGCACACTTACACTAGCCTTTCGGTGTCACCTAATCAATGACGACGTGAACAGCGCGTGAAAGTGACAGGGACAAGGTATAAACGAGGACTTGTGCTGATTTTTTCAGAGAAAATTATTAACGTGAACATGAAAAAAGAAAACGAGATAGCACACGTGATCAAAGCTCATCAAATTCGCATGACGGCAAACATCGGAAGAAAACTGAGACATACAAAAAGACGTTGTGAATAAACCACAACCCTGACAACACATCAAGCAATGAAAGTGCTGTATATTTATGCTCTTTCACCGGATGAACTAGCGTAATCTCTTTCTTTGTCAGTAATTGATATGTGGGGTCGAACGTCCCAGAACCACCACATGATTGTCAGACCTCCATATTCAGAAACGCTCCTCGACTCGAATTCCGTCCTTCACTCGAGTACGTTGAGCACTGCGCCACTGCTCGACTGAAATTGACGCTGCGCTTCTCAAGAATCGCTGCAGAATATTGCCGATATGCAGTGACATGGTCGGCCAAGAGACGGCGCTACTTTCGGCTTTGTCGAGTCGAGGAGAGCGCTTGAGTGAAGGATCGTTTGTGAATACGGGGGAGAGGCGCCGTAGTTAAGGGCTTCAGAATTTCTCACCACCTCGGGGTCCATACCGTGACCCAAATCTGAACAAACCTGCCTACAACATTCTCACCTCCATTGAAATTGAGGCTGCCTAAGCAGGGACTCAATCCCAGTGATCTGCGGGTCAGCAGCCGAGTACCTTTACTACTAGACAACCACGGCTGGGCTTCTTCGTCAGTAAGAGCGATGAAAGGTTTGCTGATGCAATTCCCTTCAGCGATAGCTGTAGCTTCAATGGTGATGAGTGTGCTATTTTGATGCTTCTATCGTCAGGCTAAAGGCATCGTTTCTATCATCACCAATTCAACTGTTTCGCGCTGTTACACTATACTCGGCGATAACTTTTCTTGTCACCGTTGTGGAAGCTGCACAACTAAGCGCATACCTGCTACGGTGAAAAAAAATTGTACTTAAGTTTTGCAATAGTTCACTCATTTGCGTTGCTGAACGAATTGCTTCATCCTTTATAGTGATTTTAAGTGTAGTTGTGGGAATCGCAACATGAAATACAGTTATTATTTGCTTTGATAGAACTGCCGTTCTTATCTTTCTATTTCTTAGCACCGCCCTTATTTGTTAGTTTCTCAGACATCGCGTCCCTGACTCATGGTGTTATTTTTTCGCCTCAAGCGCAATAATTAGTTCTGTAAATATATAGAATGCGCCACTAAATTCTCTTTCATTATCAAGAGAGAGAAACGAGAAAAAAGGGAGGCAGGGAGGTTAAACAGATGCTAGTATCCGGTATGCTACCCTACACTGGGGTTGGGGAATAGGGGTTTGAAAGAGAAAGAGTTAAAAGAATATAAATAAGAGAAAAACACCGACACACACGCACACACAAAATCAGTCCACTCAGAGGCGTTCCGACAGGCCAGTAGTTTGCAAGAAGCCCAATAGCGCTTGCACGGCTTTCTTCTGTGATGATGAGTCATGACGATGGCGCAGTATACTTTCTTCTGACAGCGGCTGGTCATCTAACCTGTTTAGTGTATTAGAAAGGTGTTGTTTTTACAGGTTGTATTCCGGGCTGTCACGCAGGATATGTCGAATTGTTTCTTCATCTCCGCAGTGTGCACAGTCGGCGGTGTCAGCCATACCTATGCGGAACGCGTACGCACGAGTAAACGCGACTCCCAACCCTAATCTGCACAGAGCAGTAGCGTCACCTCGTCGAATTTTTGTTGGAAGCTGTAAGCTTAACGTTGGATCAAGGGATCGTTATCTTGCATGCGTAAAGAGAGACTCGTTCTAAAGAGCCATGAAGCGTTGGCGAGCAAGCATGCGAAGCCTCCTAGCAGCATCAGTCCTTGAGAGAGGTATTGACTGGTTGTTGTCTTCTGTATGGGCTGAACGGGCAGCTTAATCAGCTCGTTCGTTACCGATAAATCAACAGTGGCTTGGAAACCACTGAAATATGACGTGGTGCCCTTTCTCTGTTATAAGATGTAGTATTTCTGGTGTTTCAAATACCAACTGCTCGTGTAAACCACGTCGTAGATTTCGCAGAAGTGACTGAAGTGCTGCCTTGCAGTCTCAGAAAATCGTCCACCGTTGCGTGCTTTGGTCGTTAATGAAACGCAACGCGCTGCAAGCTCTGCTGCCGTTATTGTGGTTGCATGAGCTGTTCTGAATTTGATGGTTGCGGTATGCGTTGGAATAACGACCGCCGCAGTTGAGCTGTTTGGCAGGACGGAGCCGTTGGTGTAGACGTGGTGCAGTCTTGGTACTTCTCGTACAGCAGAAGTAAGGCGAGCTGCTTGAGGGCTGGTATAGAGAAATCTCGTTTTTCTGTATTCCTGGTATTGTCAGGTTGATGACTGGCTGTTTGAGGCACCATGAAGGAATTCAAGGTCTCGCCGCGGGCGTAAAACCAGTTGGTAGGGAGTCACCATGTGTAGTTATTGTTCGAAAAAAGGAAGTATGAGGTCTATCCGCTGGTATAGAGGCTAGGTGGTAATGGGGAGTCCAGCCCACATGGCTTATGTGTGTCCTCAAAGCTTCAATTTCAATTTGGGTCTGCACGAGGTGGTATTTGGCTAAAGCTATAGTTGCCACTGTTGAGGCACCCTGAGGCAGACCTGGACATATTCGAAGCGCCTGTGCCTGAACGCTTGGTATCATGCTTCGACTTGTTTTGCTGGCGTTTGATAATGCAGGCAGACTGTATCGTGAAAAGCCAAAAAAAAGCACCCTGTACAGTCGTAACATAGCATTAGGCTGCATTCCCCAAGTCTTTCCAGCGAGAAACTTGAAAATATGGCATATGCCTGTCAATCGCTTTTTCAAATACGACACATGAGGGCTCCATGATATGTCTCTGTCGACTATAACACCCAGAAATTTGTGAGATCGACGATATGGTATATTTTGACCGTTAATTGACACTATGTAATTCGACATAGGCTTGCGCGTAAATGCCAGAAGAGTGCACATTCCGGAGAAAATTTTCAGGCCTCGATTGCGGAGATACAAAGCAGTTGCAGTAGCAGCTCTCTGTATTCTCGCTCGTAACTGCAGGCGAGTTACCATAGATGTACAGATGCAGATCTCATCAGCGCGTGTTGATAGATAAATATTGTTTGGTAGGTGCGTATGGAGAGCGATTAGTGTTATATTGAATAGCATGGGGCTCAGTACACCACCCTGAGGGACGCCATGACAACTGAAATGTGCAGACGTGTTCCCAGCCTCCGTACTCACAAAAAAGATTGCATTTGGAGATAACTGCGTATCCACTTAAACATTCGGTCACCCACTGCAATTTTTTCTAGTGCAGTAAGGACGGCTTCAAGTGTAATGTTATCATAGGCTCCTTTGACGTCAAGGAACAGAGAGGCGCAAAGACGCTTATGGCCTTTCTCGTGTTGAACGTACGTGATTAGGTCGATAACGCTATCGATCGATGATCGACCACGTCGAAAGCCAGCCATGGCATTTGGGTACATTTCATGATACTCGAAGTACCACTCGAGTCGGCCAAGAATCATTCTCTCCATCACTTTACCCACGCAACTAGCCAATGCAACCGGGCGATAGGAGGAGAGTTCTATTGGTTATTTGCCAGGTTATAGCAGTGGTACTAGACGACTAGTTTTCCAACTTAAGAGAACAGTGCCCTCTAGCCAACAATTATTATATATCTGAAGTAGAGCTATTCTCGCGCGCTCACCTAGACGACACAGGGCTCTGTAGGAGATTCCGTCAGGTCCTGGTGCACAGGTACGTTTGCAGGAAGAGAGTACTGCCTTCAGCTCCTGAATGGTGAAAGGGATGTCCATACAGGAATCACGTGGTGGCGGGCAACTGCTCGAAAGTGGTGAGCTGCTAAGTGTTGTAGTTTGCCCTGATAGTCCGGCGCAGAACTCTTCAGCAACATCCACATCTGGTCGATTTTGGTAAAGGGTTAAGGCCTTGAACGGTGACTTCTGAAAGAAGGATGACCGCAAACCTCCTACCGTCCTCTATATCTGCGATAAAGGCTTACGAGGGTCGAGTGACTCGCAGAAAGTAATCCAGCGTTGGAATTCTAGCTTGTCTAACCAACGTTTGATCTTCTTCTGCATACGTCTAGCAGTCCGTAAATCTTCTATGTCCTTCATGCGGCGGTACCTTCTTTCAGCTCGTCGTCGCAAGGCTCGAAGAAGCTCCAGCTCAATGTCAATGTTCATAATTTTTACAGGGCATGGGATCGTACACACAGTCTCTTTTACAGTGTTCTTGATGGCCTCTTGTAAATTGGATATGTATTTTTGGCATTGGTGTTCCATATCAGGCTGAAATTTTTTCCAGTCCACTCTTTTAACAATGTCGTGCATTTTAGGAGGCGACAATCATCTGATCTTGACGTATGTTGGAATGTGATCACTCCCATGCGTTTCTATATCCGTAAACCATTCAGTATGTTTGCATAGGCTTCGCGAAACAAAAGCCAAGTCGGGACAGCTACTGTATGTGGAGCCACGTAAAAATGTAAGAATGCCAACGTTCAGTAAACAAAGATTGTTGTCGGAGGAAAAAGACACCAAGTTTCTGCCTTCATCAAAATCTTAGCTGAAGTTATGTGGGACAGCCTCTCTCTCTCAGTCTTTCTCTCTCTCTCTCTCTCTCTCTCTCTCTCTCTATATATATATATATATATATATATATATATATATATATATATATATAAATATATATATATGTGCATGCGTGCGTGTGTGTGTGTGTTTGTGTGTGTGTGTGTGTGCGTGTGTGTGTGTGTGTGTGCGCGCGTGCGTGCGTGCGTGCGTGTGTGTGTGTGTG